TCAAATTCCCTGCAATTACTTTCTCCTTGTCTGCATATGTTCTAGACAGAACTCTGAAGGCACAGATTATGTCACATTCACCATTTTATATAGAACCCCTAGTGTGATACAATGCCTGGTACACAGAAGGCTACCAAAACATTACTATAGAAGGGGATGTGTATTGTGTACCGACCACAGGCCAGACACTGGGATATGCTGGACATATACAGGACTCATTTATTTAATCTTTACCACAATCTTAAGAGATGGGGACTAACCACTCCTATAGATGAAGAAAGTAAGATACAGAGACAAAGTACCACACCTGAAATTGCTACTGCAAGGGAGTGGTCAAGCAGGGAACTGGAAGTGCATTTATCAAGTTCCTTAAAAATGCCACTCCCATCCCTGACACATTGCCCCCAGCATTGTCAACCAGAAGAAAACAGCAGGCACAAGCCAATTCTAGTGAAATTCTTTCCCTAGGGAATGAAGGTGATGAGCCCTGGAACCCAAGAGTCCCTAAAACACAATTTCAAAGGCATCAACTTAACAATGTAAACGGCTTTAAGTCCACTGAGGAAATAAAAATGGCAATGGTTGCTGACCTCTGTTGAACTCTTTATGTGCCAGGCACTGTGCTGAGTACCTGATAAGCATTATCTCACTAGATCCCTCAATGATACTATAGGGGGGAGCTATGGCCATTGCCCTTATTTTACAGGTGAGAAAACAGAGGTGCAGAGGTCCATCACCTTGCCCAAGATGAAACAAGCAGGAAGTAGGGGAGCCAGAACCCAGAGCCCACATTCTAACCACCACACTTTACTGCCTCTGTATATAGGTGGAGCTTAATTTGCAGTCTAACCTGAGCCTCTGTCTGCACTGTGTCACTGCTATAACCTTTCCTTCCTCCTTCCTGACCATTCCATCACCAGGAATGATACAAAACACCTTGTGCATGCATCCCTCATGTGGCTCTGAGGTCTGTACACAAAGCATTATTTGTGAGGCTTGGAAAGGAAGGTCTTCATTTATCAAAAAGGAAAAGGAACCCATCTACCAGAACTGACCTGGCACCTGCTACCAGACGTGGCACAGAGGAGGAGCTGCAGAGCATCTCCTGAACTCAACTGAGGTGGAGGGAATGAAAGGAAACAGTCACTGTGTAATCTGGCCGCGTTTTGGTGTTTCCTAGCTGCCAGCTAACATGATCATTCTCTCCAAGAAGAAACTAGGTCTACGCCAAAACCCTTGGCTATCCTGCTAACTTACCACCAGCCTCAAATTAGTGTTTGCTTAAATGAGAGAAAGGATATAAAAAGGCAGTGGAGGTCTAAGAATGACGATCAGCTAGAAACTTGTCACTTTAGAAGGAAGGTGTACTCTTTTAGGTGACTAGGTTACCGCTTAACAAATAGGACAGCCTGTAAGAGCTTGAAGGCTAGAATTAGATCTTCCCCCCAAATAACCTTCTTTCAAATGAGAACAGTAGGTTATAATTTATATTTCTTTTTGTGCAACAAATTTGAGTGTCATAAAAATGGTTAAAAAGTCTTCCTATGGTAGCTTTTTCTAAACTTTTATGAACATCTGCCACATTCATTTGAAGTTTAAAAAATTCTGGCACATATGCAAAGGCATAATAAGGTGCCTATAGCTTTCAAGAAAAAATAACAAGACAGTCAAAAATAAGCCTTTTGCTGAATTGCCAGTAAGAAAACTAGTGTGCGAGAGGAGATGGGCCTTCCCAATCTCCTTCCCTAAAGAGTTTTCCTTTGGCCCCAGGTATGAGCTCCACCCCCAAACATTATAGCCCATGGTTCCTGGAAGAAATCTCAGGGAACCATCTCTCTCACTTGAAGGTCTAATAGAACCAGATAAGCCCAATCAAAAAGCATGACCGGAGGACTCCGAGTCTGAGCTGAAATCCATGGGAGGAGATCAGGAGACTGTACTTCATGACTTGGTAGCTCACAGCTGCCTCACACATGCAGGAAACGCTATTTTGTTTGGAAAGTGTCTTAGCTGGCTTCAAGAGTGGGGTAACCACTATTTTTGTTTTTCTTTTAGTGCTGACCACATAGTAGTTCAGCATGGCAAACCCTCCCTAATTTAAATCAGCAGGGCTAAGATTTATCTTGGCCAGTGCTTCCCAAACCTTCTCATTTAAAACCCTTCAAAGGCCAAGGAGAGTGGACTTGCACCCATTCACCTAAGTGCAAAACTCTGTCTCAAGTTTTAGCTTCAAAATTTATGCCTGTTGTGCACAGCATGTTTTACTACAAAAAACCCTTGTTTTAAATTACTTACAGTCACATAAAAAGTAAAAAAAATTTACTCCCTCCACCTTCAAGTAAAATTATGGTGCTGGGTTCCCTGACAACAGCAATGCCTACCGGAGGGCTCTAAATGTGTTCCAAATTCCAGCTTTCCAAGCACTCACTCAATCCTTCTTTTCAGAACGCACCTGCTGGGTATCCTGCTAGGTGCTGAGGACACCACAGTGAATGAAGCACAGTCCTTGTTCCCAAAGAGCTCCTGCTCCTAGGGCTGAAGGAGAGGGCAGGGAAGCAAACAGCTGTCATCCTGAGCAAGAGGTACATCAAGCAAAGACAACGGCCAACGGGAGGACTTCCTCCAACAGCTGGGGAAGAGAAGGTTTAGCCATGCAGGGGCGTGGGGATGGGGGTGTTTTAGAGACCAGCCAGAGCACTGGCTAACAAGGGACAGCGAGAGGACAGGAGGCTTGACAGCAGCGGGGAGCCTGAGCAGGACTCGGGGGTAGGGCAGAGGAGGCTGGAAGGCAGGCTATTAAAGGCAGAGTGACCAGAATTTCATACTCATCTTCATACCTCCATGACCTAGCAAAATGTTCGGAAAACAAGAGGCCTTGATCCCGCTTCTCGAATGAACGAATAAGGCTTTGCAAAAATCTAAGAAAGCAAGGTAAAATGTCAACAAAGGCAGCGAGGAAGGAACAGGGCGAGAGACATGTCAGAGACTTGGTGACTATTTAGAGAGAAAGAAATGAGAAAGAGGACACTCAGCCATGCTCAGCGTGACCCACTTTGGTGCCTTTTCAGGCAGTGGTGCCACTCACGGGGACCGGGAACAGTGGAAGGGGAGTGGAGTAACTCGACGGGTGTGTGTGTACAGATAATAAGGGGTTTGGGGAAGACTGAGTCTGAGACATCGACAGTACATCTTGGTGACCTTCCACTGGCATTTGCAACTCTGGGCCTTAAGTTCAGAGAGAGGCATGCCAGTGTTAGAATCACAGTTGGGAGTCACTGACATTACCCTGGTGGCAAAAGCAAAAAGCCTTATAAAAGATGGCCAGAGGGCATATAGAAAAGAAAAGCAAGCCAAGACTAGAAACCTGGACAATCCTCAAGGTAAAGGGCTGTGAAACGGAGGCTGAAAAAACCCATGCTGTAACAGCCTGGAAGGCAGAAGAGGCAGGGAAGAGCCGTGGATGCTGATAGACCAAATGGTCTTTAGATTAGAGTTTCCAACTGTACAACAACTGACACGAAAGTTCTATTAGCAAGTACTCACTTTCAATTTTTCACACAGGAGCTTTGAATACACCCCCAAACTTGACAAACAAAGGTAAAACACAGAAGAAATCTCTTCAAGCTGATCTAAATACACCATCCAAGATAGTCCATAAACTGTGTACTGTATGTGCTCAGGGCTGGGTGATGACAAGGAGGAACTGTTAACAGAATGTAGGAGCCACATGGCCGTCCTGTCAAATTAGAAATTTGAGCAGATTTCTGTGGTCTATTTTGATCAAGATTCTCAATGTCAAACAAACAGGTTTTTCGATAACCAACTTGTTTCATTTTCGTAAGCACAATAGCACAGTGTGCAACAGTGAAGAAGCAGGTGGTCCTCGTCGACGTGAAATGAAGGCAACAGAAGAAGAGAAGTAGCACTTCCTTTAAGACATGCAAAGCATCATCACAGACGGACATGGCTTTAGCTTTTCCCTCTGAGAGCTTATCTCCTGTGCAAAACAGGCAAGCCCCCTACCTCCTGCCCCATTTTGCTCTAGTGCAAATTTCAGCTCTCTCCTGAGGAGGGAAAAGCTTAGGGTTCATGTGTACAAACCAGTGGCACTTACAAAAGCACAGAAAAGTCCCTTAAAAGAACTGCTATCTAACCGGTACAGCCATGCAGAAAGCAATCTGGCCTTAGCTTCATAGCTTTGACCAAGCATTTCTACTTTAGGGGTTCTACGCTAAGGAAGTTAAGTCAAGATGCAGATTAAGCCTTATGCATAAAGATGTTCACTGACATGCTATTTATAATAGTGAAATATTATGAACAGCTTTAAGTGTCCAACAGTAATAGGAAAATGGCTAAGTTGTGGCATATCCAAACAGTGGAAGGACCGGTAGCAAATTAAAAATTATTACTGAGAGTAGACAAAAACATGTAGAAATCCCCATGCCATAATATTAAATGAAATAAAGACATAAAATTCTATACCATATCAGTGAAGTACATTTATACAAAATATATATTCACAGAATAAAGACGAGGGTGAAGAAAAATAAAATGCTAACAGTGGTTGAATCTGGAATAATGGTATTGTGGATAATTTTAATCTTCCTGCTTATACTTCTGTATATTTTCTATACCACATTTTCTACAGAGAAAAAATGTAATATAATATTGTTGCAGTGTTTTAGAATAAACATCATTTTGAAAAGTGAATCATTTTCCTTCCCTCGTTCAAACCCTTAAAGAACCCTTTCCTCCTGCCTCTTTGAACCTCACTCCCTCACCCATGAAAATTGACAATCTCCAAACAAAGTGGAAAAACACTGGAAACAAGAGCCCAGTGGAAAGGGTCTAAGCTGAACGCTCTGCTCTGTGCACGAGGCGTTGCTCTGACACGCTCCCGTGTGTAGAGCTGTGAATCCAGAGACTGCGTCTTTTCCACTGCCACATAGCAAAACACAACCGCAAACAGAGGTATCTGGGGAGGAGAGGAGCCCACTTACCTCCATTAAACTTAAATGGATTCCTATGAGGTAGGGCATGGGAGCGCTGTGAAGAGAAACAGAGACACACAGCTGCTTTAATGTCTGTTGCTTTTGACAGAAAATTACACATGGTTCACTATTTGGAGAAAAACTGTTTTAATAAACGTATGCACAGTTACATTTCCTTTCACAACAAAAATCCTAATGTGACATTTTGTTCCCAAGCCTAGAAACTTCGGAAGAATTTCAAAATGTGGGCAGCCTTAAAAGCATGGGTGGCGGGAAGAGCACTGACCCTGGCGTTAGTCCCTAAGTAGCAGCCCTGCGCTTGCATAGCCTCAGTTGCCTTATCTTAAAATGGCACTTTGGAATCTAACTGGCAGCTTGCTATCAGAATGAGAAAATATATGTCGAGTGATTAGTACAGTTCCTGGTACAAATGGGAACCACTGTTGCCATGATTACAACAGAAAAAGCAGTTAACAATGTCAGATGGAGGGCATGATGTGCTTCAAAGAGGAATGATTTTTTATTTGCTGTTTCCTCCTGCCATCAAGAGATGTGATCTAACTGTTCATTCTGATTGGACAAAGTGCATCAAAGCCAGCAAGCATCTCCACCCCAATTGCACACATGCCATCTGATGACACTGTAATTCAAAAAGCCCCTTCTAACTGCTTCATTCCCAGAGCAATGGGTTCCCTTAGTTAGTGACTGAGCAGGAGATGAGAACCCAACTCCAGGGGCTTTAAAACCTGGGCATTATGGATTGACTTCCTTTGGTTTCAGGGGCACACATATAAATTATCATTATGATGCTACTTACCAACGATAAATGGGCTAGCCATTATACAAGGAACTTGAAATTCATCTTTCCTAACCCACACAACCTCACAAGGTAGGTATTATACCCATTTTACAGAGGAGGAAATAGGCCCAGAGAGCTTAAATCACTTCTCTAATGCCATAAAACAAGCAGCAACCCTAGGATTTGACTCCAAACCTTCTTCCTCCGTGCCACGCTGAGTTTGTAATATTGGACTTAAAATCCCCAGGCTCGCCCCCCACCCAGTGTTTTTCCTTCAGGTAGGGAGGTCAACGAGTAGAGAGGAAGCAAGACATTGACAATGTTTCCATCTGTCTCTCCAGCATGTGATACATCCTGAGAAAGGTACAAAAAGGTATTTTATGAGCACAGTGGAAAGATACCTGGCTCAGACTTGAGGTGCCCAGGTACCTTTCCTCTGGGGCAGCTGGTGGCGTGGAAGTGGACCTAGGAGGGTGGCCTTCTTGGGGACAGGGTAGGGAAATGAGGAGTGGTAAGAAATGAAAAAGGAGAGGTTTGCTTTCCACTGAATGCTGAGGAGTTTAGGCTTTCTCCTGAAAGCAATGGATGGGCAACGAAGGTTTTTTAAACATCATATGTGCATTTTAAAATTGCTCAAACATTTAAAAATAAGAAAGAGCACAATTCCCTCATTACCATTCAACAAATAAAATTCTTCAAGCAAAAATCCTTCCCCAGAATATAAAATGTTCTCCTTACTACAGACCTCTGCAGTAATATATCTTGGGAGCCTGTAAAACAGTCTTGAATATTAGCAGCACAGTTTGGCAACTATTCTTCTAGAAGATTTTTGTATTTGATAATAGCCAAAGAAAGAATTAGACACAAAACTGCAGTGAAAGTGGAGTTGTCTTTCCTTTCTTCTTCTTCTTCTCTCCTTTTTAAAAAAGGTATCTGCTGTGCACATTCAGCTTCCCTTCGCTTCCAGGGGCAAGGAAATGCCCTATGATATTCTTTCCCCTTAAACTGTAAACCATTAGTTTAGCTGCCAGCTACACAAATGCTCAAACTTCCCAGTGTGCCTGGCTCTGCTGTCCAAGCTTTCTCCAGTGTACATTGAAATGAATGTGTTTCTAATTAAGTAGCTTCAGGAACACGACAGCTTCAATGTCAAAAATACAAAGTCTGAACCCTGGCAGGAAGTCTTAAGACTGCAAATGCCTCATCTAGTGGAACCTTGCCTAATGTAATGAAAGGAAGCAGGAAGAGTGCAGAATTCCAGAAAAATGGCCACTTATTAATGTGTCCAGAAGTACAGCCAAACACATAGAAGGGAGAAAACTCAAATCCATAATATTTAACCAAATCTTATAAACTTTCCCAGCTCCTACCAGCACTGTCATGCAAGTGACAAATGACCCTGAGTTTTAATTAGAATTTCTGAACTGAAACTCCAACAAATGAATTAATGTATAGAAAAGAACATTCAAACAACTGTGAGAAAAAGGTAAAAATAAATACCTACAGCAAAAGCCTCTGTATAATTTAGGCTCTTATCTGAGACTATAGGCTCTTATCTGAAAAAAAAAATTTCTAGAATTTTAAATATCTAGGTTTTAATGCCATGCCCTTTTGTCCTGCAATAAAAATCAACGAAAGAGAGTAAAAAGGAGTCTTAGAAGTGATGGCAGATGTAGAAAGGGACAAAGTGAGACTCACTCTTCAGCTACCATTAGGTAGGCTATTTTTTTTTTTTTTTTAAGCCCAATAATTTACCAAAGGGTAATTATGGCCTGTCATAGAAATGTAGTTTCTTAGCCAACTTAGGGCTGCAACAGCTCTGTATTTAGAAAATATTTAAAACACATTTATTCTGAAATCACAGCACACCATGTTTTGTATGAATGCAAATTTGGACAAATACCTTTTACTGTGTCATCATTTGCTTACAAAACCTCAAATGTGTCCCTGAATCTACTGCATTTTTGCTCTGCAATTACAATGATTACAAATTTCAAGTGGGGAGAGGGAGAGAGGAAAAAAAGAAACTCCAGAGACTCCTTAACATCTGAATGTAGCAAATACGTAACTGGGTAATTCTACCTGCATTCTGAAAACAATTTGTATTCTCAATACACCTCAATAGTTTTTGCAGCTACTGAATCATTCTCTTTTGTTTGTTTTTTCTTGTTGTTGTAAAGAGAAATTTGGGGGGAGGGGACACTCACCCACGATCAAGTCATCTTATCACAACTACTTTTATTTTTGTATTATTCTCCTCCAATATTAACATTAATATTTAAAAATATCTTTGAAATTATAGAGTGCATATATTTTATTGTTTTCTCACTGGCTACATTAACATTTCCCATATTATACTGTAAACTTTGTGATTATTTTAAAGACTATGTAATATTCAACCAAGTATGGATGTCCCTTAATTTGCTGAACCCTATTGCTAGAGTTAGACATTAAGCCACTTCCAACTTTTCACTATAAGTAACATCGTAATGAAAATGAACAACTTCATGTGCATGAATTCCCAAATACGGAATTACCAAGTCAAAGGGCAGGACTGTTTTTAATATCTTTTGTTATATCTTGGCAAAGTGTCTTTTAAAAGGGCAGTACCAGCCCCAGTGGAAATCTTTCAAGATTGTTGCAAGGATTAGAGAGAACCCATGAAGTGCCTAGCACAGGAGCAGCACATGGTAGGCTCAGTAAGCTATTATGTCCAAGTGGGTTCTCTTCACAGCCCTGGCATGGCTGGTATGACTGGACCCATTCTCTTAGTGCCCAAAGAATGGTTTCTTGTTCCTTCCCTGGTTCTGAAGGATACCTGGCAAAGTGTTGGTGAGGACAGTCGAGACTCCGTGATGAGCGTGAGGTGTTTGACATGCATCACCTCTATACATGAGTTTCTGACCCCAAGCACACTCCCTTGTCACTTGTCTACTTACTGAGCTCAGTAGGGTTGTTTATCACTTTCTTCAGAGGGTAACATTTAAACTTGATTTTATGTACCACCCAAAATGCAAAAACCACCAAGTAAACTATGACTCATTACTTGCTTATCACACAGAATGACAAATTTGTAAAACCACTCATCACGCTTTCTTAAAAAGAAAATATAGCAAAAAATTGGTTAAGCTAGTCCTAAAAAACTTCACATTCAGAACCTGACTCTTCTGAATCATTTTCTGATTCAGAGTCATCAATGCCCTTGTTTTATCCAAGGTATCTCAGTAACAAAACATAATACTTTATCTAGATGCTATCTTCATTTGTTAGGTCCCAGAAAGAACTTGTTTATTGCTTATCAAAAAAATATCAACGCAAATATGTTTCACCAATAGTAAATGAACACCATGCTTCTCTGCTCTGCTCTGCCTTTCACCATTCACACTGACTTTACATTTCAGTGCTGAATCTGACTGCAATTTGGAAGACATTTTAAATGGCAATTAGATACAACATGTGCAGAACCAACAGTGCACATGATTAAATTAAAGGGGTGATAATATTAACAGCTACGACCAAGTTCATGCATAGGCGGGCCATCACAACCGTGTCACAACTGCCCTATGGCTGACGGCGATTGTGGGATGCCACTGTACATCTCTGAGTAGCGGGACAGGGTGTATCTGCCCTAGGCCTTTGTTCTCTGGGAATTACGGCACTATCTGACTTCATCACTGTCATCTTGGAAGAGTAAAAGCTATTCTTTCTTCCTTCTCCCATGAAAAGGAGAGGGATTATATTGCTAGTGTCAAGGCAGTGACAACATAATGACCTTTACCTGAAAGGTATGTTTATTTTGAATCCTCTTAAGGGGAAAAGGAACTAATATCAATTGAGCTACTATAACCCAGGTGCTTTTGTGCATCACTCATACATAATTCTTAAGGCAACTCTGCAAGGTATCACTGCTATCCACATTTTCAGATTGGGAAACAGGCTTGCTTGGAAAGGTGAAGTAACTCGCCCCAGGGTCACAAAGCTAGAGTGAAGCTGTAATTCAAAGTCAGGGCTGTTGGACTGAAAGCCTATACTGTCCCACAGCACATACTCAGAACTTAAGCCAAAAGAAAAGGCGTGCTGGAAAACCAAGGGGGCTATTCACCCAATCCTCTCACCAACTCCAGACCTGCAATGCAGAGCACTGCTCTTATAGGTAAGTCCTGCAGCATGAGCTCATTCCTAGCAATGGACAGGCATGAATATGGATACTGCAGACTTATTAATGATCCTATAGTCCCCGTTCATTATTACTGCAC